AAAAAAAAAAAAAAAAAAAAAGTTAAAAGAAAAGTTGTCACCAGTGAATGCAGGATTGAAAGGCTCAGGAATACACATCTGTCCAAGTCTCAACAACACTAGCCATAAACATGAGACATTCAGACACCCTGTTTCTCCTTCCTTACCTTCCTCCTGGGTTGCCCATGTCCTCTTAGGGAGCCTCAAAGAGAAGCTGCAAGAATTCAAACATTTCTCAATGTTAATATCTCAGAAATCCCTGGGAAACCTTTCGGTGTCCTGGGAAGGGATATGCTTCTCTGTTTCTGGGAGTCCATGGTGCTAATGAGGAATCTATGCATAGGGTAGAATACAACTTGTAGTTAACAGCCCATTTATTCCTGATTCATTCCACACACAGTTAAAGAGCATCTGCTGTATGTCAGAAACTGGGCTCAGTGCTGGGGGACAAAGGTGGGTAAAACTGTCCCTGCCCTCAAAGTGCTCATAGTTTAATGGGGAAACAGATAAGTAAATTGATAATTATAAAAACAAAGTGCTAAATGCTATGATGGAGATCTGAACAAGGTGACAGTAAATGAATGCTTTAAAAGAGGTAGAGAGATGTACAATATTTTCTTTAAACAAACTAGAGGGGAAAGTCCTCTGGTTTGTTTAAAAGCCCAATAAACAGCTGCAGCCTTCCTGGACTGAATCAGAAGATTGTATTGTTTAAAAAACAAAAAACAAAACGAGGACCAGGAAACTTGGGCTCTTTCCACCATAGTGCCAACTCCTCAGTTAACCAACACTGGAAATCTCGAGTAATCCAGTAACCTCACTATACATCAACTTTCTCATTTGCAAAATGGAAGTAGCAACTCTTCTTATATTGTAGAATTATGACAGAGAGAAATGAGATAGTTGATAATAAAAATGGCTCCTCAAATACATTCCGATGTTGACAGTGATGAAAGGGCCCGAAGAGGGAAGCAAATTAAGCCCTTCTCCACCTAGGCTTGTGTCTTTTCCCCAACTTTTCACCTGTGGAGAAAGGAGAGGACTGCACCCTAAGACAGGAGTTCTGCCCTTACCTATCACGTCCACCCGACAGTCCACAGATGCCTCCCCCAGGGGGTTAACCGCCTTGCAGGTGTAGATGCCCCCATCAAAGGGACCAGGCTTGCGGATTTCTAGTGAGCAGATTCCCATATGAGTGAGGGCTCTGTACTTGGGGTTGTCTTGGATATCCATGTTGTTCTTCAGCCAGATAATCTTTGGCTGGAAGAGAAAGATGAGGGGGAAGTAAGGGGTGGTAAGAACCAATTCTTTCTGTGCTCAGTCTTGGGACACTTTGCCTATAAGGCTTGGGGACACTCTGGCCAGAGGAGCAGGAGGGGTAGGGTGTTTTAGGAACAGGTGGTACAGGGATCTAGAAAAGATAATGGCCTCTAGTTAGCTCCCCGTCCCTTATATTTGGGAAGGGGTTCCCCTTCCAGTACCCTCAACAGACCCCACGGTCCTTCTCTTGGTTAAAAAGAGCAGCTAAAACCTTGCCTTGTTCATCAAGTATTCCTGACTAGGAGAAAGGTGATGACTCCTATTGAATCCTGCTCAAGCAGCCCCTTTATGGATCAGAAGCACTGGGTGTCAGGTTCACCTCTTTTTTGTGTATACATTATCAAGTCTTTTGTATTCTTTTCCCACTATTGGCTTGGAAGTTATTCCTGTCCCCTCTGGTTAGAAAATAATTTCTAGAGTAGATTTACTGATATTTTCTTTCTGAGATGTTATGGCCACATAGTCTGGTACTTGGTAAAGGTTTTTATGCCTTGTGTGGAATGAATAGGTTGTAACTAGACCTAACTGGCCAAAGGCTCAACTCTAGGCAGCTTGCATGTGCATGGCCCTGATCAGATGAGATGTGGTAGATGAGTAAGGAGAAACCAATGGGACTCCATCATCCCTGCCAGAGAAACAACTTTGAAGCTCATGCCCAATTGCCAGCCGGTCAGAAAGTGGCATCTTCATGCATGACAAACAGACAGTAAAAGGAATACTGGGAATATTATCCACGTCAGCCTGTCTTGGACTACAAGTGCCCTGACCATTTCTACAAGACCTGCTGTGGAAGAGGAAGATGATGGATGGTGATGGGAGCAGATGTTTTGGTTGGAATGCTCTTTGACATAGCTAAGGTTAGAGCAGGTGCAGGAAGCAGCATGGCGCAGCCACCCATAGAACTCCCCACTCACCTTGGGAGAGGCACGGACGCTGCAGAAGAGCTGGGCATCATAGCCAGTGACTGTAGTGCAGTCTGCCAGAGGCTGGGTGAACTTTGGAGCTTCAGAGAAATCTCGCTGGGCAAACCCCTTGGTCTTGTAAACTGTAACTGAGGTGACCCAGAAAAGCCCTGATATAGTGCCTGAGATCTCTACCCTCCTTCAAGTCTTTATCCTCCACTTCCCAGCTCAGGGTCTCTGCACCTTACCTGCTTTCTGGATGTGGGCAAGGTCAGCAGTGATGGGGGCTGTGTCACTTAGCCCACACTGGTTCTCAGCAAAGACTCGAAATGCGTAGGAGTTGCCAATGATGAGGTTGGATATTGTGCAGTTGGTGCGGTGATAATGCTCTAGCACTGTGAACCACAACTTTGGGGTCCCAAGAAGATGCCACGAATGAGACACCTGTTTTATGAACTCAGTCCACCTTAGCCCACCACATGGAGCTATCAGAGCCCCATTCCAGAATGTGCTATGCCTCCCTTTCAGCCTCCCTCCCACCTGGACCTCACCCAAGATTTTGTGTCAGCCTTCTGCACCGTGTATCCCAGAAGTGCCGCATTGCCTGTGTCTTGGGGAGGTGTCCACTCCAGGGTAGCACTGGAGCCCCAAACGTCCACCAACTTGATACTCTGAGGAGGGCCTGGCCTCTCTGAAAGGGCCAAGCATGGCACTGGGCAAGGTACAACTCACATGCATAGAAATCGCTTCAGGAATGCCCCTTCCCCTCCTCTGCTCAGCTACCCCACCCTTCATCCACTTCTGTTTCTCACACTTAGTGTGGGGGTCACCCTGGCTTCCCCAGCAATCTGTGATGGCTCTTTTCAGCCTGGAGAGGGAGCCCCTGAGGACCACCCTAGCTCCTGCTCTCCCCACCTTACCAATTACCAAGATGTCAATGGTGGCAGTGGCCTCCAGCCTGCCCAGCTGCACACTGAACTGGTAGCGACCTGAGTCAGCACGTTGGGCTTCTCGGATGAAGAGGATGGAGTCCTGCTCCCCATTCTGCACGCTCACACGACTGGCATCCAAGGCACGGCTATTATGTGTCCAGGTGGCTCGAGGTTTGGGTTTGCCCTGAGAAATAGGGATAAGGCTGTGAACAGCCCCAAAAGACCTCTTGACCCTCCACCCCAGATCCACATGGTGACTTGACTCGCAGCTGCAAATTCCTTGAATTAGATAGAGGTTGGTGGACTCTCTCAGGGGACTTCTATCTTTCAGCAACAGCCATGGGAAAAGGGGATGGCTTGGAGCCTCCCACCCTCTGTGAGTTTAGGTCATGGAAACACAGGGCAGCTGGGACTAACAATAGCCATCTGAACTCCCAAGAACCTTCCCAACTGAGAGCTCCCAGACCTCTGCTGACTGAAGGGCAGGGATTAGCCTCACCTCATCACATGGGGCCCAACCCACCCCACCCTCAGGAGTGCAGATGGAAGGCCTATTTGGCCTCAAACTTCTGGTGACGTGGCTCCCTTCATTCAAGACCAGGACGACTGCCCCACTGCTAGCAGGACTCTTGGTATCTGGTTCCAAATCAAACCCTGTCCTGGTCCCAGCCATGGACCCAGTGTGGGGCTGGGCATGATCACCTGGAATGGAATTCGTAGGTTCACAGTGTCTCCAACCTTCCGGATGTAGGTTTGCCTCAGGGCCCGAGGTAGCCAGATCTTAGGTTGTTCTGTGTGATAATGGGAGAGAATGGGGTGGTGAGCCTCAGAGTGGCTCTCAGAGGGAGTAATGCCTTCAGCTGTGCTCCATGGGCAGGTGACCCAGGCATTGCTCAGCAAATTGAGTTCTCTCAAAGGGAAGGGGAGGATTGCTCCTATCATATTGCTGGGGTTTAGGGATGAGCAACAGGCTAAGGGATCCTCTAGAGAGTGCCAGTCTTGGCAGTAAGAGCACTGGAGTGTGAACCTGATGCTTCTGTTAATTTATAACTCTCAACTCCTGACTCTCCATCAACTAAGATTTCTTTTTTCTGTTTGTGCACAGACCAGTCCAGTCTGTGTGGTTTGTCTTTCCACCCATTTGCTGCATTTATCCTTAACAACACTCTTTTTGTCAAGGCTACTTTCAATGTTAATCCTGACCTCCAAGTGTCAACCCCACCCCCAGTTTGGTGCCAGACCCGGGGAGAAAGCTTTCCCTTCCACAGGCAAAGTCAACAGCCTGGACCCACTAGGACAGCACTGATGTCATTGCAGAGGTTCCTGGCGTCTGGGTCCCTTCCTCTGCATGACCGCCCTGCTCAGCGCTTGTACAGTGTCCTTCCAGATTGTGGAGGATCACTTTGTACAAACAGAATCTGGGAAATACTAGGTCCACTGCCTACTTCCCCTTGGTCTCCCAGGCCTGTTCCAGTGACTAGAGAGATTAGATTATGTTTATTGGCTTCCAGGATGAGGACAGGAGATGCTCAGGAAAGTGCTGAGTGTGAGTTTGGAGAATGACCAGGTATAATTTTCCTCCTTGGTCTCAGGGTGCCTTGATGGGAGAAAGTGCAAACATCCCACCTGGGTTCCCTGGGGGCCCAGCTAAGACTAACACAACTTTCTAGCCTTCTTGGGGCTCCTGTCTTTTCCTTTCTCAGGCAGATATAGTCCCCTGCTGCTGTTCTCTTAAGTGGAATGTTGCAGTGTCTCAGTTCCCACCAACTTCCCAGCCTCTCCCTAACTATTCATTCCTAGCAGTTGGGACAACACCCCCCCCCCC